AGATAAAATGTGGATGTGAAATTAAAATTTCATATTACTAGAAAACCAAGCAAAAGACAATAAAATAGAAAACTTAATAACTAAGACTCTATTACTAATAATTTTTAGTCCAAAGGGGCTTTGTCCCTGAAGGACTATTGTTTTCGTTTTGCGATTTTGCGTCGGACTCATAAACGTCGGTTCACTTTTCAAACTGTTGCCACAAAATGTTAGAGTCCTGCATTATATTTGAAGAAATTAAATAATGAAAAATCTGCATAAATGATTGTCTATTTCTCGCATTGTGATAAAACAATGGTACATAGAGCCATCGAATTTTGAATGACGAAATCCTACTGCGAATATGGGCATCTGAAATCCCAAATTTGGAATTTGTTTTATTATAGATTTTATATTTTGTAAAGCTTTAACGAATTTTTGATTTACAAACTCAATGCTTTAAAAGCGAGAAATGGCAACGTTATATAGAAAAAAAATACTTTTATCTCCAACTCGCGAGACTGTGTATATCGGAAATTCTAAAGGTATGCTTAATTTAACATTATTTTGCGATATTGCTCTTGAACTGAATTTTATGTTTAAGTGCAAAGAACATGATATTTAATAAATAAAGGTAACACTCAAAACGTTAAAAAAATGCCCCTTTGGACGTAATTTAAAATCTGAAACATTTCAGATTTTTTTTTTATTTATTTACTTTAATTTCTTGAAAAAATTAAAGGAAAATATTATACTTATATTTGTCTACGTTATATCCGTATCTATGTATATTATGGTTAAACAGATCTCAGTAAACTTGAAAGGAATGAAAAAGCAAACCAGTTTCACATAAGAATATGGAGCCATAAATACCAGAGAGGTTTTGTTTGCCAAAATTGGGTTAATTATCAGAGGCGTTGCATCTGCAGGATGGAAATGCTATCTTTTTGGCCATCACGATTGTTCGACTTGTCTACGTTTATTTATTTCTCCGAGTTTACATCAAAGTCACAGTCTTATTACCAGATGGTATAGTGGTTAGGAAAGCCGACTGTGATATCAAAGGGCCTGGACGAGAATCCCGGAGAAGGCCGGTACAGGTACAGGTAAAAGTATGAGGGACACTATCGATGCACCATAGGTCGACTGGTAATGCCTTTCCATACTAACTCTTAAAAAAAGGGGGGGTAGTTGCAAGTTTTATAAGAATTTTCATAGACTAAAGCTTTCCAAATGGTCTATAGTTTGCCTGTTATGGTACATCGTGCAATCCCACCGTACACCTAGCATCTAGTATTTATTAAAAATAATGATGTAGGACATAAGTAGATTACAAAATAGTCTGAATACAATTTGAAATTCACAAATTAAATTGAAAATCTGTTTGGGTGCAACAAAAATTGGAGATACACATAATTAGTAAACAGATAAACATAATGAAATAAATATGATTAGTACGGGCAACACAATGTTATAACGAATTGTAATAATGATGCTAAAGAGGTCGGTGTCCATGGGTTATTTCAGATATAAAGGTTTATTACAGTTTATAAAAATCACGAGTGGAGTCATTTTGTCCATAATCACAGTATGTAAAAGTTCACTAAATTTATGCAGTATGTGGACTTACACTTGACAGACATCTAGGCCATAGGAGGAGTGTCGTTGCATAAATTTTTGAAACTTTGGATACTGATGTTTATCTTTAATTAGAAACCTTTAATGCCAGGTGATAAGTTCGCGGGGATTTTATGTGAATATCCTCAGTTAAGGGGCACGAGAAAGTGTGATGATCAGAAGTTCCCTGTTCCCCACATATAGAGATATCAGAGTTCGCCATATTTCTTGCGTAGAAATATGTAGTGAAGGGTCCGTGTCCTGTTATAAAGTAATTTAATGAAGGATTCTTGTACATAAATGAGAAGCTTACATTGGGGATCAAGTTATATGTGCGTCTTCCTTGTGGAGCTTAGGAGAGGAAGGTAAGGAATTTTTAATCCCTAGAATAGCTGCTTGGGTGTCAGATTTTATGCTCAATTCTTTGAGCCTGCTTTTATGGCTGACAATTCCGCTTGGAAAACACTATTATTATTTTGGAGATGACCTTCCTATTTGATGATATTTGAAGCGGTAATTTGAAAATAAACCTTGGAACCAACTTTTCCTTCAATTTTTGATCCATCAGGATAAGCTATTGGAGATGAACTACTTGAACTTTCTTCAGACATTGGGAATTTTATTTTGTTGAAGCGAAGTGCTGGATGAATAAGATTGGGGTTAGTTTTCTTTTCATAGTTGGATGGCTGAAAGGTGTCCGTCCCTTCATAGGAGACAAAGATGGCCCACTTGTTAGGTGCCTTCATAATAGAGTGACCACCGCTTCTGGCCTTAGCAGTGGCCAAGCCGAAGTCGGCTGAGGGCCCGACAGTGGGGGAAAAATTCAAGCTAAAGCAGATGAAAAATAATGAAAGCAACGAGGATAACGATGAATGTGAAGAATTTCAATCTGAGCCGCCCCTAACATACATAATGAATTTTGTGTAAGCAGAAAAACGCACCCACTTTCATGAAATTTTCCGAAGCCAGGGGTGCAAATCACGATATTTTTCGGGCCATGAGTCTTCTCCGAAGAACAATAACACAAGAAAGAGACCATAAACTTCTCTGGTAGTGTACAGGAATGAAAAATAAATAAATTATTATACTTTATATATCAAGTATATATGAATTTTTATGATTTTTTTTTCATGAATCCGTTTTTTACAAGCACTCGGTCATAACGAGCAAATATCGCGGTTCCTTTCCTCTCGTTATAAGAGAGTTCGACAGTATATGCAAATATTTGAGTATACGAAGGTATTATATTATATATTTTTTCTTTCTCAGGAATATACGTATATTTTTGGAGCTATGCTAAACGAGAGCATAATTCGTAAATGCCCATCGAACTAGCAACCGAGAGACGCCCTTTTAACGTATCAGGGAGCTTCCAGTACTGTTTTCTAACTGATAGGTAACGGGACGTTTATCAAGCTTAATGCAAGGTGGTTGAAAATGTTTTGCAGACCAATTTTCGTATAAAAAAACAAAGCAAAACAAAAAATAAAGGAAAAAACACCTGAAAGCTTTCAGATTTTATATTACGCCCATACGAGCTTCCTTTTTAATTTTCAGACACATACATATTTCAAGAGCATTTGCGCTAACTCCACATTGTGCTAAAAATATTTAAAAAGAGCATATCTTTAAAATTTTCGATAGACAGTCTCGCGCGCTGGAGATAAAAATGTCTTATTTCCTACCGTGTTGCCACTACTCGCTTTGAAATTGCTGAGTTTTTTTTTAATCAAAAATTCGTTAAAGTTTTATAAAATATGAAATAGGCAATTAAATAAGGATTGTGTTATTCAAAATTTGATGACGCTAAGTGCCGTTGTTTTCCACAGTGCGAGAAACATACTTACATTCATGTAGATTCTTCATTATTTAGTTTTCCTAAATATAATACAAGGCGTTAATATTTGGTGGAAACAATGTGAAAAGTGAGTCAGACAATGATTCAGCGCAAAAGGCCGTTTTGAGACTAATAACCCATCTGGGCTAAAGCTCATTTTGGCTAAAACAGAAAAAGGATACATCATGGATTTCTTCTGAAAATTTCCAAGCAAAATTAGATTAAATACAAATAATTGTGAGGATTTCACTGTCTGTTTGAGAGAATTTGAAAGGAATTCATCATGGGTACTGCGGATGACTGTAAAACAAATACGAACTGCAGGGTGTGAGCAACAACTTTCAAGATTCAACATCACAAAAACAGTAGATGCTCACTGGTTGGCACTTCCTCGGTTGCAATATCGATGTGCATTTAAGAATTTTGCTACTCGTGATTTTACTTGCATTCCTTTATCTTTTATATTTTCTGAAGCTGTAGCACACTCGGATGGCGTTTCCGATATGTTATTAGTAACATTGGTTTGTTTTAGTGTTCCTGAGGCATAATTAAAAATTTGTGTAAAGACCTTTCGAGTTCCCTGATTATCTATTCCTCTATAGGGTTGATATGTTATATCTTTCAGATTATGTTTCATACAGCAAGAAGTATATATGCACACACATATATACATGTAGGTATTCCCTTTTCAGTGCAGATAAACTGCTGTCAAGATTTAGTGCGGTTAAGAAACTGTGAATTACATACCATACGAGCCATACGGAGTCTCTTTGTTAAAAGACGCAAAAATATTCTGAACAGTAATGCCAAATTTGAGGCTTATTAAAAATGGAATGAAGTAAAATAAAGGCAAAAATTAAATATACAAACGTTATTAACTAGGATTTATATTTCCGTTATATGCATCTCTTGTGAAAAAGAAAAATGAACGATTCAGGAGCAACTAAGACAGTTTTAAGAAAATACTTTTTTAAGTTGACTTAGTGGTATATTAACACAGAATTTAACTACTGTACATGAAAAACTCTGATTAACACACAAAAATACATTATTAAAGTTAATTAATTATTAATTAACATATACTGGAACTATAATTTTATTTCCTTAAGAGATTTCCTTAAGAGATTCTGATCTTTTCTTTTAACTTAATTCAGCTAATTGGTAAAATGAAGCATTTTTAATTAAAAGAAATTGGAAGTTAATAATTAGTTTCAGGCGCTTTTGTATAAAATTCAAGCTATTTATGAATTTGATTAACTTGTTGATAAATGATTTTATAAATATTATCGATTAAGTGAGTATCCAAATAAATTTTATGAAGAATTACATAACTAAATAATAATTTATTCTTTGCAGGGATTACTAAATTCCAAATATGTCACTTATGTTCTTATGTAAAAATTATTAAAGGAAATCAGTAGTACTGGTTGCTTCACATCTTTTTAAGCAATCAGATATAAGGGTTATTTTCTTATTTTATGCAATTTTTAAAATTTAAAAGCAATGGCAAAAATATTTTCATTTGCACGATTATTTCTGACATAAGGTTTGAAGGGCCATTTCTTACTTCAAAATTTCCACACCACCGTCCTATATTAGAGGATGCAGCCCTTAGGCTTTCTCCAGCTGTTAGGTGTTGACCGGCGGCCCCAGTAGCGGTTGACGCTCTGTGTGGATACCTCCTGTACAAGTAATTCACAATGATGAATTCTAGCATGGAAGCATAAATGAAAAACATGCAAACTCCATCCCACAGATTCATGGCGGTCAAGTTGGAGACCACTGGTAATGTGGAACGGAAGCTGTTGGTGGTCGTACAAAAGTTCAACATGGTCGTTACTCCAATCATGACCCGCGCAGGAACTGCATTGATATCCAACCAGAAACTTATGAAGGAGCTCGTCACCAAGACGAAGCCAGGGCCGAAGACTGTGCTGAAGTAGAAGATCTTGTCACGCGTGAATACAAGCAGAACGCGAAGGCAACTGTAATTCCCTGAAAATATAAATATTTATCAATAAAATTAATGCATTGTTTCTGGAAATATGTCATTTCTTTAGGATAGTTTCCACTTTATTCGTTGACAAATATATAAATGATAATAACCATTTTGCTGAAAACATAAACACGTCTTTCAATTTTAAGCTCAGAAAATTATAAACATGATGTTTTTAAAATCGTAAAAACCTACTTAGGATGATTTAAACTATTTTCTTCATCGTACGAAGTAAAGGAAGTGGTACAATAGCGAAACATTTCGGTTATCGCATTTAAACGAAAATACCCATTTTGACCTCTGTCAAATCCACTTGAACAATTTTTTTGCGTGATATATGTACCAACGGACAGAACAAAGGGCTATCTTTTCCAAAAAGGACCTTAAAATGGATTCAGAAGGAATTTTTTCCTGATGTTTGTAAGTCCGTATGCATGTATCTCGCATAACTCAAAAACGATTAGCCATAGAACGTTGGAATTTTGTGTATGAGTTGGCCATAGTATCTAATTCTGCGCCTCCTTTTTGATGCAATCGGCCACAAACGTATATATACAATATAAACATATATCCACAATTTCATCCGGCTCGCTGAGCTCTTATTTTTAGTCTTCTTTAGTGGTAAATTTTACATTTTTTGCTTTAAAAATGATTGCATTAAATTCTTCTTATGTTCCGATTAAGAGTTTTATGTCTTTAGTTAATATGCATGCAATAGTTGTACAAATATGAACAATTTAAAAGTGTAAGGGCACTAGGCCTAACGTGGTGGCTATTTGTTCACATTTGGAACTGTTCGTAGTGTAGTAAATTAAGTCAGTTGGTGCCCCAATTTCAATGTCTTTTTGTCCAGTGGGACGCAAAGTAACTTCAAATTTTTGTTCACCGAAATTTTTTTTCCACCGGTTGGTCGAATTTCTTGTTTTTACGTAGCAATTCTAACTTTAGTGGCAAAAATCTCACTTTTAACTGTATTTGGTGTTTGAGATTTTGTTGTATTTTATAATTTTTGACGAAGGTATTATGCATTTTTGCTTTGCCTTGAAGTGAGAAATGAATTGATTAAACAAGAAATGTATGTAGAAATGAGAAATGAAATTTGAAGAAATAACTTTTAATGAAGCGCAGCAAAAAATGTGTACGGTTTAATAGGCCGTACAAGGAAGCCATGTGGTGCCCAAATCATATTTTTTACACAAAGTTAGCTGTAAACTTGATTTTTATAAATATATACATATTTCATATACTAGGATTTATTTCAAATAATTTTTCGTCATTAGCAATGCAAATCAAGAATAAGTGTAATATCGTGTATTTTTGTTTATGAATACCTTCCCATTTAATTAATAGAAAGCCTTTCTCTCAGAAGAGAGGAATGCTTTTCTCATTTGGAAAATATTGAATATGTTAATAGCTTAAATAGTTTAATTACATCGCACAGTAAAAGAGATAAAATCACTTTTACAACTTTTCGAGCTCAGTTTTGTACGAGCTGACAAACCTGTATTCTGAGTTTAATAGGTTGTAGACATTCTTTTCTACCAACAGCAGTCTTGCGAGATAAATGATGAGCGATAGGTATCTTCTTCATGTTATAGCATCATAATAACGATCTGAGCTGTTAACACAGTTTTTAGCAAACTTAAATAGTTACTCTAATTGATAATTTTTAAGTTCATTAATTTTAAGTTATTGCCGAAATTGCTTTTTGTTCTACCATTGATATAACTTATGATATTTTTTTAAAAGAGCTTTTGTGTTTTCAATAATGGTAACTCACTTCATTTTTTTTTTAAGACTGGATTTTATTTCTACTATGTTAATTTTTATGATTAACATAGTTTCTTAATTTTCTTTGAATGCGCGTGAGAAATGGATAAATTTTTAACGGAATTGAATTTTAATTGCTTGATGTTACAATGGCTGCACTCCGCTCAATATTACTAGCGCCATTCCTCTACGGAGGTTAGTTTCGGCCTGTATAACAGTCAGTTTTATTATTAACAGTCATCTTATATTACATAAACAAGAAATAGCAGTGAATATTTAATATTTGATTTTTCATGAACAGTTTCAAAACTGTTATATAATATCAAATTACTTTTAAACTTTATTCTAAAAAAGGAAAAAAAAAAAAAAAAAAAAAAAAAAAAAAAAAAAAAACGTAAACGCATTCTAAGAAAACGATTCTTATAAGGAAATACCTTTCTCATCTCTTTAGCAGAAATAATAGTTAAAACAGGTAAAGCTTTCTTTGCAAATTTAATCTAATAATCAATAGAATACATTCATTGAAAATGTTTCACAAATATCCTAATTTAGTAGAAAGAATTTAGATATTTCAATGTCGCACATGTATAAAATACTGTGTGCAAAACTTCGCTTCAAACCACAGTATCACCTGATTATATTTCAGGCCATAAAAATTACGATACTCATTCAATCCTTTCAATCGTTTTTAAATAACAACTTTAAATTTCAGTTATAAATAAATTTTTAGAGTTTTAGTAGCATTATTGTGGTTTATGAATTTCCGGCTTTGCAATATTTCTAATGTTTAATCTAAGTTTTTTTCAGTAACTTTAAATGAAAAGAAAAAATATAAACATGTGGTTACGGAGTTCCAAAAATTATCATTTCTGATCGAGAGCAATTTATAGTTTGAATTAGCAATAGTCTTAATTCCTCTTTTTAATTTAAGTGCTTTTCCTCTTTATTCTAAAAACAGTAATAACTTTTTCTGAACTGCGTTATTTTTAGATCAATCCGTACATGTGACTTAATAAAGCTGATGACGTAGCTAATTCGGTGTTTAAACCAAAGCCTTCTTTTAATAAGTTGCCATATGGGATAACTGCGCACTTTGCTTTTACCACTTTTCTCGCTAAGATGCTGCTTGATGCTTTATTTACTATCGCAATAACTTCTAAAATGTTCTGAAATAGGCACAATTAATATTGTTGTTGGTGTGACTTGCCTTACCTGTTTGACAGTAACATCAAAATAAGTTCACGAAATTCATCATGGCAAGGAGTGTTAGATCTGTCGTTGGCAAAAGCCTTGAGCACCATACAGGTGCCAGTACGACTTCGCTCAGTTCCGTACTCACTTTTGATGGGGAGCTTCCCGGGGAACTGGGACGAGGGTCTCCCACAACTCTTAACCTACTACTAAAATATCGAGAGGACATTCGGCTTGCCGCATATTTAGAGTGATCCCATGTAGCACGGAGCCTATACATTACAAAACATAATGATTTCTCCTGGATTCAAACCCGGGCCCTTCGGCACCGCAGAAGGCCCCCCGTCTGGGCGGCTCACGATTTATGAGCCTAGTGAATTGCGTTAGTATGAAACAGGCACGATTAACGTGCATAGTGAATAGTGTGCCGCAAAATAATTACAATAAGAGAAATATGATTTAAATCTGCTATGACTGCATCTTATTATATGTATATGACTGCAAAGTTTCTTCTTCATTCCGAATTTACTATGTATGTTTCATCATCTATCTGCGTCATTCCCAAATCACTACATAAAGTGTATGCATATATGTGCGAGGGTGTGTATGTGTGCCCTTATGTTTTAAAATTTAAAACATGAATCATGTTAATGAGGTTATTGCATGCATCTATGGGAAGCAGAAAACTCATCAAAGTTCATTTCTAACAATAATTTAATGCTTTCAATAAACTGCGAAGATGGTCATCATCCCTCAGCTACTATGCGAAAGTTTTTGTTCTTTCAGAGTGGAAAAAATGCGTTTCTATTCTGTTATTTACATTCATGCATGGATGCAATTTTCTTGTTAAAATCATTCAAAATGAAATATTTTTTTCTGGAACAGTTTCGAAGGTCAGTACCAAGCTCTTTTTTTGATTTTAGGTACATAAACTGGTAGTGCAACAATGTGTAGTTCATATATGGTACGAGAAAAAAGGCATGAAAGTGTACACTCATCAGTAATAAAATTATAATAAATCTCGTCTTTACTACAAATCAAGTCTTTGAAAAGAGCTCTTCAATCTCCAGCTAGTCGCCTTTTATGTTGAATATAATCTCATCATACTACATTAATGCTTTAATGCAAAAACTTCATGTAACAAATTTAAATTACAGTTCAGGCGGTTTTGAAGTTACGTCGAATTCTTTGAAGATCGATCTAAAGACATTTAAGGTTAAATCACGGCAAATTAGAAATTTAAGCTTAGTGTAGTCTCTGATTACAAATCCATTTAAATTTGTAAATTTTCTATTGCTTAATATTTGAAAGTGGTGGGATTTAATTTGTAAGCACAAATTGTGCAAGCTTTTAAAAAATAGATGATTTAAAATCTTTTTAGGATTTTGTGATAAATTCACAGATAGAAAGAGGGATAGCTCGCTTGTCAGACTAAGTACGATTAAACAGATTAATTTAGATTTACAAAATATACCTTACAAATTAAGCAAATAAATTTAATTTCATTTTAAAATAATGCAAAACATGCTTTACCAAAGGGCAATGACCAAATGGACGTATTCGAAACTTTTCACAAATTTCACATTCAAAGCCGCTTCAAGTATCAAGTGAAAACTTATCAAGCAATTCCATTAATTTTCTTAAATAACATGCATTTTCATCAAATCTTATTCCTGACGGGAAGTTTTAATACATTTTTTCGGAACAAAAATCTTTTACTGTTGTTCGAAAGTTTCTTCACAAAATGTTTCCACTGTGCCAGCATTCGTTTGAGATTCCCTTCTACCTGCTAAATGGTTAACATGACCTTTTCCTTGAGCATCGACTTCTTTGACGGTCTCTTTCCTTCTTTGTATTCTTTTTTTATTGTACCAACTTATTCTTGCTATTGAAGGAAAACAGACCCTTTTCTTGTAGTATCCTAATTCTAAAACTTATCATAAGTGTTTCCAATATTTTGTGTGCGGTTGTTTTGATTTATTATTAAAAAGCTTAAAGTAGTTAAAGTAGTTATTTTAATAATGTCACATTTGTTCAT